GCAGCACTGGCTAGCGCTTTCGCGGCTGAGTTGCCAGCGCTGAAACGTTTAGACCTTTCGCTGTGCAAGCAGGTGACAGATTCCTCTTTGGGAAGGATTGCGCAGTCTTTGAAAAATCTGGAAGAGCTCGAGTTAGGTGGCTGCAGTAACGTGACAGACACTGGGCTTCTTCTGATAGCGTGGGGGCTGCGGAAACTTCGCCGCTTGAACTTGAGGTCATGTTGGCATGTCAACGATGCCGGTATAGCTCACCTGTGCGGTGGCGGAGAGGCGAGAGGCACTCCGGATCTAGAGTATCTGGGACTACAAGACTGTCAGAGGTTGACCGACGAGGCATTAAAGCACGCGGCATCCGGTCTTCCGAAATTAAAGTCGATCAATCTGTCATTCTGCGTCGCGGTCACCGACGCCGGACTTAGACATCTGGCGAGGCTTCCACATCTCGAGGACATCAATTTGAGAGCTTGCGAAGGAGTGTCCGACACGGGAGTTGCACATTTAGCGGAGAGTGGACGATTACGCTCATTGGACGTCTCGTTTTGCGACAAAGTCGGCGACGAGGCGCTGTTGCATGCGACTCTAGGCCTATCCGGTCTGCGTTCCTTGTCGCTGAGCGCTTGCAGGATATCCGACGAGGGTTTGGAGCGAGTAGCAAGGCTATCGCAGCTAGAGACTCTGAACATAGGGCAGTGCCACAGAGTCACCGACAGAGGCCTCCGAGCGCTGGGCGATGGTCTGCAGAACCTGAAGGCTATAGACTTGTACGGCTGCACGTGTATTACGCCCCAAGGATTGGACCATATCGTAAAACTACCGTGTCTCAGTGTACTTAACCTCGGTCTATGGCATGTGCGGTGACCACATACGCGCTAGTCTGTGTTAAAACGTTTGTCTGTAAGTGTGTCCGCCATCTTGGAAGTGAAGGAGCCGCCAAGGTTGTATATTGGACAGTGAATAAATGAATTAACCAATTTTTAAGATATTAACTATCGAATTACATTTAGGAAACGGGGTTACTTTCTTTTTTAATGATTCGAGTTTTGTTGTGTATCTGACATTGTTATGTTGATATTCCATTCTGTGATTTTTGACTGTCCGTTTTTTTTAATTTGTTGTGTTTGAGGAAAGTCGCCCCAAGGCCTAGTCGCTACGTTAATTCAGACCTTTTTGATTGTAGTTATTTTCGAACAACATATTAATTGTACATGTAAGTAATATCGATACTACAATTATTACAAAAGGTCTGGTTTTACACGTAATTGCTCCATTAGTTAGATATTTAGCCATTCTTCTAATTGTTTTTAATTCGACCTCTTGCAGACAATTGTTAAGTTACATTTTTGGAAGTTCTTTACATGTTTTTATTGTGTTGTTACATTGAAAAGATTGAAGGTGCATGCTTAACAAATTAAATATTTCTTTTATCAACATTTTTAGAGTTTTGTGCCAGCTAAGAATGTATTTAATACGAATCGTCACAAAATGAATGGATTTTGTAAAATTATCATATAACCACTTCTATTATCTGAATTTTCGTAATACGTAACATTTTTATAGAATTAAAAAATATAACTTTTTATAAATCTGTTTCATTTAATCTCAACAAATATGTTAGTAGTACAAGTAGTCACTTCAATCTTTAAATTAATCAAGATCTCTATAATACGTAATATTATTTTTAGTTTTAATATACTATAATATTAGGTATTTTTTATTGATTTACATACTCTTTGACAAGGGGTCGAATTAAAAAATACGCTTGAATTATCTGTGCATCTGTCAAATATAACAACTTTCCGTATTATTTTATACATTGAAAGAATAACATTTATCTCCTCTTAAGCTTGAAATTATGTTGGTTTATGTATATTTAACTTTGTTATCGGTGCGTTGGAACGAAAATAGATAAGTGAGTTTGTTGTCTTGAACATTTTCTGTCTCTTTTCAACGTTCTATCTCTTTCTACGCATTCCGGACAAGTCTACAGATAATTCTATGCGTTGATACGTTGTATACTTTACCAATACGTTGTTCTTGTACAAAAACGAATGTAATATAGGACAAAGAATGTATTAAAAGTCATTGTTTAAGTTACAAATTATATGTGACATTTTATTTATACCCTCCTATCCTAAAACATATTCTAGGTAAATGTACTGATTATTGGATACAATATATACAAATATGCTATAATAAGAACGCTAAAAAAACTGAGATATTATAAATTATGACATGACTCATAAAAAACATCGCTTCCTTTTAATTAACGTTGGATTGTTTCAAAAGACTGAACGATAGAGTCCCGGTCGAGGAACGCACGGGAAAATCAACCTTTTTAAAGTAATTTTGATACCCTAGAACTTTTAATATTGTAAATATAATTTCGTTTTACGCATATTAATCAAAAGTTTTCATATCAGAAATATTTTTAGCATAATAAGACCGATAATTCAATGGGTTTTAGTCATTAAACTATGAATAACATTGAAAGTTATGATGACTCATGTGTTTTATGACACTATTATATTACGATGAGATCATGATATTTAGTGCTTATGAAGACCTGCGTCAACACTAACGACTAAAGATCTGCGGTTACCTAATCTCTGACCATGCTATTAAATTAGTCAATTTAAAACACTTCGAATAATATTATGGAATAAACCATCTGCATATGTTTAATCTATGACTTATCTTACAAAAAGTCTTGTCTATACAGGTGCGTACTTTTTGCTAACTAAATACGTACTTTTGTTTAGAATAAAAAAACTGTAGTCGCTGTTACGTTATTTTAGGGTCACATAAATTATAATATTTTAGACATTTAAATGTATATTTGAATAAAACAAAGCGCAAATTCGACTTCTTTATCAGCTTGACATTTCGCTATGTCAAATAAATCGCGCGCTGGACATTAATTGTTGACAGTTAATGTCAAAGTGTTGCTATATTAATGGCTCTTATAGCAGAAGTCTATTACTTATCGCGTTTTACTTCGAAATTTTTAACACCGTTTTAGCATTACATTAATTTATTATTTGTAGTAGGTTTTATAATCTATATTTAAAATAAATTTAACAATAAAATCGATGTGAATGGCGTAAAATTAACATTTAATGTTTAAAACATTGCGTGATTTAAATGCCATTGTTGAAAAATGTGGAATAATTGCTTGCAAAAAGTTTCAAATGCAAAAAGTTTTAACTAAAAAAAACATTCTCAAAAAAAACAATACACTAAAAAGTAACGAAATAACTCCTTGAATTACTTAAACCTTTCTTATTGTAGTTATTTCTATATTATTAGAACTAAATATATCATTGAACATTAAAAAGACCGTCTTATAAAGAATATTTTATAGTCATTCCTAGTAAAATTTAGGATAAAAATTGTTTACTTGCTTTAGTGCATAACGAAATGTCTACAAAAATATGTTATCTCAACTTTTTCGCAAAGAGTAAACGGGATGTCAATAGTACAAATGTTTCTTTAGTAATAATCCGTAGTCTAAACACAACAGGAATTATAAACCGTTAATTTATTACTTAACAACTTTAAACTTACAAATTTTGAATACGTTGTTAGGATCATATTCTTTCAAAGAAATATTTAATTATATTGAGTATTGTTTTGGTATTAGTTGTGAAATTTTTAAATACTTTTATTGCCTTTGCTATGCTTTTAGAACGTTATTGTGAAATTTAAAACAAAAGATGGCGGATGACAGTAAAATTAAGTCGTAAAATCCGTTATTGTATTCTTTTATTTTTTTTTTAAATCTTTTATTACATAGTTGTCATGTAATCGTTTTCTATAGTCTGTGGAAGTTAATATGAAAACGACGCAAACAACACTAGTAAGGCAGTCTATAAATGCGAAAGTTCAGACGGATGGATGGATGTTTGTTAGTTTGTCGCCTAAACTGTTGAACGGATCTCGATAGAATTAAGCACAGATTTAGAAGATAGTCTAGAAGAACACATACTCACTTTTGTTTAATTTTAATTCCACGTAGACGGAGTCCGGGGCCAAAACTAGTACTTTATAAGTTTCCTAATTTAAATTTTAAAAACATTTTTTGATTATTCAGAAGCGAATTTTTAACTCACCTCAACCTTCGCTTTGTCATTATCTGTGCATAGAAACACTTTTATTTTTTATCTGTTTTATAGAATATACAAGGTTCTTTGATGAAGTCGAAGGTTGTAGAGTATAAGCACTGGCCTCACTTTGTACTTTGTATTTTACAAGGTTGGTACCCTTGTAACCTTATTATACTAAATTATAGGTTAACATTGTAAATTATTTTATTATAATCTAAATTATAACATTTAAATATGACTATTTTAATATACACGAAGTTTTTAAGATATCATGGTGCAACAACTTTTTTTTTATAATATAAGGTGGCAAACGAGCAAGCGGCCACCTGAATCCACCGAAGTGGAAAGTGACTGCTGCCCATGAACATCCGCATTTGCAGATGCGTTACCTACCCTTAATTGACGGAGAAGGAGACGCACATAAAAAGGACACTTCCCCTTCCTATGCGTCACTTCCACTGTCAAATCCACTTTTCCTTCCCATCATTTTCTCTTGAAAAAAGGGTGGAAAAGGAATGGGACTAAAATTAGGCTTTCGGCACCACACTCATCAGAAGAAACACGGAATTTCTTTCACTTCACGCCGGTTTTCTGTGTGGTCGTGGTATTACACCGGGCGAGCCGGCCCATTCGTGCGAAGATGTTAAAGCGGGCTCTACCACTGTGGAACAGACCTCGATGCAATTTTGCACAGATGTGAGTAGGGACTGGAAGAACACATAGACTACTAATTACGTCTTTTTTCACTCTGTCTGGAGTCGCGACTGACAACTAGTAGGTTATAAACATACGGTGTCAACCCTAGCAAAGTGCAACTATAAGAGCGCCCGCACACATTTGACTAAACTATCGTACAACTGTTTAGCCTTGCTTTGATTCCTATGAGCTTTTATGAAGGTCACACTACTCGATTTTTATTTGTGCAAGTACAGTTGAATTGGCAGCAAAACAGTCGTGCGATTGTTTAGTAAAAGGTGTGCGTCCGCTCTTAGTATCAATCAGGCTATAAAATCAATAATCCGTTGCTTTTAAATGTTTAATGATTTGTAGATATAAATTTGATTTTAAAATATTTACTCAGAAAATTTTATGATAGAAATAAATTTTAGTAATGGAATTTAAGAGTGTTTTGCAAACAGGAAAAGGTTATAAAGATCCGACCGCATCCGGCGAGCGAGGCGAGTGTTACTCAATCATGTGGAGTATACGGACAGACAAGCTGACACTAATATATACCGGATTCAAATCAAAACGCTAAACTATAGACAAATTACATTTTACGCTAAAACTCAACTCGTTAATTCAAAATGGACGAAGTCGCGGGCAAAAACTAGTAATTAAAATAAATTCTATACACGATTGTCATTTGAATATTCAGTTTGAAATCATAATTAAAAATGAACTTTATTCTTATTGGAGTAAAATTCAAAACCATTCAACATTGGTAAGGTAACCAAGGTCTAGTGTAGGTGACAACGCCCTCGTTGGACAAGTATTATAATCTACGTATATTATCTATCTATAGTAATATTATAAAGAGGAAAGATTTGTATTTTTGTATGTATTGAAACAACTCAAAAACTACTAGGCCGATCTTAAAAATTCTCTCAAGCAACAGACAGTTTTAAATACGCGAAATCGTCCGCTTAAAATCTTAATAACTAGCCTATGCGTTTCCAGTAATCGACCGTCAGATACTTTAATTCTAGATTTCTCAATTAAATCTACAATTTGCGACTCCCTTAGCGACATTTAACTAGGGAGAAAGTACGTATTGGTCACATCTTAATACGAGATTTTTTGGAGGAGCGCTGCGCATATTTCATCAATGATACGAATACATTTCGAAAATGTTCCTGCTAGACCCCCAAGCCGTTTTATGCAGCTGTATTTCTATAATAAGTCCTCATGAAATGGGCGTTAATAAAAAGCATTATCTCTTTTGAGCTTGTCAAGTTGTCAACGAACAGGAACATTGTTAATTATCAAATTAATTAATTACAAACCTACGATAATACACAAAGAATATCTAACTAACATTTCAATTAGTATTCCCTTTCTTGTCAGCCATTTTTATTATTCCTCAAATGTCAACAACGGTCATTTCAAAAATTTAATAGTCATTAAGTTGGTTGTCCAGTGTGAACGATAAACTAGCGATTAATTAAAATTATAACAATAATACTCATGTAACAATCCGAGGAAACACAAATTGAATGTCACCTTACAACTTAAAATAAAAAAAAAAGCTTTTTGGGCTATATGAAATATTATTTAAAACTTACAACACGTGTTCGGAATTTCGTGTTTTTACTTCAAACAGCATAAGTATATTTACACTGTATTCATATATAGTGAGAAAAAACAGCATCAGAAAAAAGTATATGCCTATGTTCCATAGTACTGTCGTGTTTTAATGTTTTAATTCAGTACACAACAGAATAAATCAACTTATTTAAGGTACTATACAATGATATCGCTTTCAATAGTTTAGCTTCTGTTGGAATTAATACTTTAAATTCTTAAGGAGGTTTAAAAAAGAAGAAATTGCTATTCCAGCCAGTATATTGCAAATGTCATTTGTGTTCTAAACGCGACATCTGTGGTCTACAGTTTCTTTACTCAAGTTATTTACCAAAAAACGGTTACGTGAGTTAACGTTACACTAGAAATTAGTTTTTTTATATATAAATATTAAGCAAATGTAATAAAGATTATAAATGCCCGTAGCCAGAGGGATAAGTAGAAAGTCTTCCGTTTAATGTGGTCTTAGCATACGACTCTCATATCTTTCGTGTTCATACTTTTGAACGCATACAACTTACACATTTATATTACAGCAAAGTTTTCTTAAACTGAAAACGGTAATCGATTAAGAATTCGATTTTTAGGATACAGTCGATGTTGATTTGCATTTTTTTTAAATATGTACTGACGTTGCCGTTGCAACAGATTAAAAAATAAACGTGTGTTTTAATTTTTTTTTCGGTGATGAAAA